GACTAATAAACTTTAAGAGAACGATGGAAATGGTTACCAACTTCAGGAAAAGGAAATCAGGTTTAATTTTAGTTGTGACAGTTAATGGAGAAGTTGAAACTGGTTGATGAACATAATCATATTGGCATCATTATTGACTCTAAACTGCGGGGACTATTAGTATTAATTTATGTCATTTAAGCAATTCTGAATACTGCTCATAAAATAATTCACTCAAAGTAGATGTTTTTAGAAGCACATCTTTAAGAAACCATGTTAAACCCTTAGTAACAGTTTTGTTCCCCAAAACCATTTTTTCTTTAACTTTTGTGCCACTTCATACCACTTCTCCAAATCAGTATTATGGCTGATATTATTTCAGCTTTTGGTTTATGGCACAATAATTATTTTTGTGCAATGCTGGTAATCATATTTTGAGTATCTGTGGGAGGAACGTGTACAGTACTTGCTGTTGTACTCTCTCTAACTAGCAGTGCAGTGCTTTATGGTACACTGTATGTTGTTTATTGAATTAATTAAGTTTTTGTATTTTCTTAATATCGCTTGTCCATATTTCCTTGAAGATAATAGCACAATAAAGAAGAAATACATGAATACTGGCATATTTTGGCTATCTGAATCACTTTCACATCTTCCCTTCAAGGAGCTGATTAACGGGGAACTGCAGGCCCAATTTCTCAGACTAGTTATTAAACCTCGGCAATAAATTTAATTGACTATCACAAAATTTTACAACTTCCAAATTAGGCACAAAACCGTGATCTTTGTAAAAGAACAGTTTGATCTCAAGCCCCTGGTCTCTCCATGGGCAAGAGCAAAGGTTTCAGAGAAACGTGATGTGATGTGGCATCAGTAATGACTAATGTAATGCAATGTATAAGCAAATACGTAAGTACAGGATGTGTAGCAGACATTTCACCACAGAAATGTTCCAATGTGTTCTGCACAAAAGATTTAACAACCAAGTTGCATTTGGCAGCAAAACTGTCTCAAAAGTCAAGAGCATATTCTATTGAGTTAAAGAGATGTATTCACAAGTCTGCTTGTTTACAATGTAATAGAGCCAGTTCACCTCACCTGACGTTCTGTTGCCTCATTCTGAATCACAGAATATGGTGTTGTGTATACCTGGAAATTTAGTCTATTTTGTGATGTAAATTGGAGGTTTAAGATGTAACTCCGCACATTATACTTTCATTGTGGCTTGAAATGCACTCATCAATACCAATTCTATCAAGCCCCAAAAGATAAAAATAGTGTTGCAGTTTCCCTTTAAACGTTACAGTGGCAGGAAACTCTGCTTGACAGATTTAAGGGCTAATTGCCTCAGTCAGTGATACTCTAACCTCCTCCCAGGAAAACAGGACTGGGGATGACTTGACAAGTTGCTTTGTGCGGTCCCACCTGCAGTGCGAGAAGAATAGCTTGACAAGAAAACGTGTGCGTCTGTGTTCACGGGAACCAGCGTCAAGGGAGGGGGGCTGAACTGAGACTGGGGCGGTCATGGGAAGAAGACAGAAAGAAACCGAAGCAGCAAAATAAAAAAAACAAAAGGATAAGAGGCGGTACATGATGCTCGGTGTCTCACCTCCTCTTTCTCGTGGAGCATGATGTGAGATTTGAGACTGGCAACCCTCGAGAACTTCTTCTGACACATGGGGCAGGTGGGGTCCAGCGCTGCATGTGTGGACTTGTGAAGGGTCAGGTTGAACTCCACGTTGAAGGACATGGAACACTGGTCGCACCGGTGAGGCTGTCAAAGAAGCAGCACTGTTAAAAAACAATCTTTCACGCCAAAGGTAAGCATGACATGGAGACCATGTTTTACATACCATTGTGAGGGTCTTGTCATAAATCAATCTTTTTAAGCGTTGACAGTCCATCATAGTTAATACTATCCCAGAGTGTTTCTCGAAAAGAGTCTAGGTATTACCCCGGTGTCCTGGCCAAATTTCCCCCTGGCCTTAACCAATCATCCCCATCTGTGAATTGGCTTCATCACTATGTTCTTCTCCCCACTGAGAGCTGGTGTGTGGTGAGCAGACTGGTGCACTTTGGCTGCTGTTGCATTATCCAGGCAGGGGCTACACAACAAGCAATCGTAATGGATATACACAGTACATGATATGGTGTATTCAGATTTCAAGAAGGATTTTGATAGAGTGCCTCATAAAAGCATAATTCTAAAATTATAGGGGGTTGGCAATTAGGAAAATGTTTGTGTTTGGAATGAGAACTGGTGTAATAAACAAACAGTACAGATAAGGGGCTAATGACTAAATGGGGTTGATTAAATAGGAACATACCACAGGTATCTCTGCTATGAACACTGCTCATCCTAGTTTTTATCAATGATGTACTGTAGAGTTAATAAATGAGTCAAATTTGCAAATAATAGCAAAAAAGGTATATGGTAGAAACTGCAATATCAATAAATAAAATAAATAGATTTTAGATGCAGGTAGTGAAAACAAACTATAAATACAAAATGGGACACATTGAACTAGAAGTAAAAAGACACATCGTTTCACATCATTGTCACAAGATTTACATCTTCTAGACAATGAGAGAAAGCAATAAAAAGGCAAATAAAATATTAGGATATCATGTAAATTATAGGGTGTTACAGGTATGTTAAAACTGCAATACACTATTAAAGCCTTATTAAGAATATCGTGTACAATTTTGGTCACAACTTTATATAAATGATGTTGGCTCCCTGGAATCCTCCACGAGAACAGCATTTTGGGGCTTAAAGAAATGTATTACGCTGACAGGCTGAAAGAACTAAACTTATAAAGGTATTCCATATCTTCAATGTTACTGTCACAATTAGCCCATTGGACTTCACTGTTTCTTAAAAATAAACAGCGAAACAAGAACCAAAGGACACAGGTGAAACTACTGAAAGTCCATTTTCTCTAAACTGAGAAAGGAAGGCACATCTTTATCGAAGTGATCGTGCGAATTTGAAACAAGGGACCCAGCCATTTTATTGAAGCCATAGTTTCCTTTAAGAAACAGATGAATGAGAGCCTTAGTTTATTTAACTACCAAGCAGGCTAGATGGGCCTCTTTATGATTGTTATTATTTTTATGTTACATAGAACTGTGTAATTTACATAGAATTTTATAGAACTTGCCTCCGCCCCGGGGAAAATAAAGACTCTCTCTCTCTTTTAAGATCTAAGAAAGCAATTTCAATGCAATACATAGAGGAACGTCCCTTCATATTCAGATATTTTAACACCACAAAATTATTATTATGTGGACAAGTAAAAAAGTTTCTGGCTTACAGAGAAGATAAGTTGACACTGTGCCCTAAAATGAGACTAGATCTAGACTAGAACTAGAATTATGATAGCAACAAATACTACTGTATATATGAAGAGAATATTTTTAAAATGTGAAAGATTGTTTAAAAAGTAAATATTAGTTCTACGCAAAGAAAGGCTTTCTGAGCATTCTGGCATTTTTACAAGCAAAAACATGGTCATGCCTCCCACATAGTTACAGGTTAGGGAGAACACTGAGATAATGGCCTGTCAAAGACATATTGCAAGGCCCGGGTCAAGTAGCTACTATTGAACAGGAGATGGCACTGTTCTACAAACTATCACAATGAAAAACCAATACTGAAAATGGTTACTGTATATTATTTTTAAGAATAGGTATTTGATTTGCCATAATGATAATATGGAAAACCTAAATATAAATATTTTACCTTTATGGCCACACTGACCTAGAAACAACAGTGAATGTATTCCAAAATGACATTTGGTTTGCTCTATCCTGTTAATTTTATTTATTTTTTTTTAAACAGGTAAAATGTCTTTTTTGTCATGTTTTTTTTTTCCTAGCTCACAGTCTTTTGGCTAAGATCAAGTGTAGAATCTGTGGGAGGAAACCCAAGTGGACAGGAGGAGAACATACAAGAGTAAATAAATGATTTTTCTCTTTAACCTCTCATACAAATAAAAGAAAACACAAAAACTTCCACAGCTTGACAGTGTTCTCTTTTGTTTTTGCGAAACAAACAGTTATACACATATAATACAAACTCAATGCAGATAGCACCCAGAAATTGCACCCAGGGCCCCAGTGCTGTATCACTGTGCCACCCCTGTCTTTTTATAACAATACAAAAGCAGGTAAAGAAGCTTTCCAAGTGATAGCAACCCTACACTTAGCATGAGTAAATTTGCCCCAAAAACTGCTTTGAGAATGAATTTCAAAGATGCTGGGTTGAAAAGAGCTGGACTCACATGCGCACTGGAATACACACACACACACACAATGGGATATCAAAATTCAGGTTCACCTAGACAATATTCTTGAAATAAAACTAAGAATGGAAAAATCAGCATAAATTATTGACTTGCATAAAAAATGAATGAACTTTTTCTGAGAACCTGCAGGAGGACGTGTTATGCTTTCATCTCACTTTCAACTTTTCTTGTGAAAATACCCCAAACCCTGTCTAAAGCAACCTCCGCGTCTACAAAAAGAGATATGAAAGGCATACAAATATCTCATGAATTTCCTCCAGCCTGCTGTAAAAATAATGGCAAAATTGATTTCTGACACTTGATTATTTTCATTTTATCTTAAAATTATGACATGAATTCGATTTAAACATTGATTTATTCCCTCTTAATGCACTTCATAATTCATAGCGTGTATTATTACAAAAATGTTTAATGCATATTTTGGCAGTTTGGTTAAGAGAAGAGAATAGAGAGGGGAGAGGAGGAGGAGAATAGAGAATGAACAATGAAACACAACCGGGAGGACTCTACATGAAAAAGAACATTAAAACAGAGAACAGGGGGTACTTCATTTCTTTGCCCAAAGAGTTGTAGCAGTATGGAACAATTTGCTTAGCAAAGTTGTTGCCACTGTAACTGGTCTCTTTCAGGAAACAGCTTGTGTTTGTTTTTTGTAACCATTTATTTTATTTACTTTTCTACAGAAGAAAATGTTTCAATACCATCTTAGAAAAAGCTATGAAATACAAACCAAAAAGCTACAGAATATTTGTGCTGTTGACACAATTATTGGGTCACGAGTTTCTTGTCCCACGTCAATCTGGGAGTTTAGCTCTGCTTTGCAAAATACAACAAAGTCAGGCCCATCCTAATTGATACAGTAGTTCTGTGGATTTACCACAAAGCAGTGTAGGAGAGAAAAACCCTAAGTGGTGTCCATCCAGATCGATCTATCAATTTATTTCTGAGATACAACCATTTATTTTATTCTCCTCTACTATCATTTTAATGGATTGATTAATTGTATTATTAACAGGTTACAGTCCAACCACAATATTAGCCATATACTTTTACATTATTTTTATTTTAGTTTTTTTTTATACCCCATATAAAGAAAACAGTAGAAAAAAAAATGAAAGCACATATAGGAAAAGTAGAAAAATTAGGTAAACATTACTTTACACAAAGACACATGGTTATAAGGACGAAGCTACAATGTTAAAATCAATTTGCTAAGATTGTTCAAGAAACGACTTGACAATTTTCTTCATTCATTAAGAGAGCAGAAACCAAATGACCAAGCTGGGTTTCCTCTTGATTCTTAACTTTCTTATATAATCAGACCTGCAGATGTAGCTACTTGCCTTGTCATTAACTTCATGGTCCCGCAGGTGGCGCTGCAGCTGACTCTCCTTGGGGAAGGACTGTGAGCACACAGAGCATTTGAAATCTCTGGGCTCTGAATTGCTGTAGCCAGGGTTCTCCGAGTTCTCCTGCGATCCATCTGCAAAAAAGACAACTTTATTTAAAGCATCCTTTGAGTGGTACCTTTGAGTGGAACACTAATGGTCTCTCTGCTTAGCCTTTTCTGATTTAATTTCACTTGATTCATTACTAACAGGAAATGGGTGAACACCCTTGAGTAGCCAAGATAATGCATGTAAGATGAATAAGCTTACATGCCAATTGTTTTAATTATTTATAGCATGAAATAGAAACCATACAACCATAAAGAATAACATCTGTCATTTTTGTCACAGGGAAGATACGGTTATAGTATCTGAGCAATTAAATGGGACAATATATTGAGTTGTAATGCAATAATACTGTCAAAGTAACAAATGAAAACAAATAAAAATAGGTTCTAGTAATATCCTTTTGTATCTTTTCTTTAAAGAGTCGATAGACACATGATAACAAATATCCTGTAAAGCAATGTCACCTTAACCAAGCAATTCAGATTCAGTGCAATGCTTAGTGTCAGCCCTGCACTATTACTCTGTCAGTGAGAGAGGGCCATTCACTGTGAAACATCTGCTCTGGCCTGCACTGTCCATAAGAGAGGGCCATTCACCATGAAACATCTGCTCTGACTTGCAATCTCAGTGAGAGAGAGCCAGTCGCCATGAAACGTCTGCTGTGGCCTGCACTGTCGATGAGATAGGGCCATTCACTGTGAAACATCTGTTCTGGCCTGCACTGTTTGTGAGAGGGCCATTCTCCATGAAACCTCTGCTTTGGCCTGCAATGTCAGTGAAAGGTGCCTAGTATGAATCACAGTTCACTGAGACAATCCATACGGAAAAGAAAAGACAATTATTCGGCTTTGGAGCCTTCTTCAGGTGTGGAACCGCATTCTTCACACCAGAACAAGGCTCCACAGCTGAAATGTTGTCTCTTTTCTTTTCAGCATGGATTAAACCTTTACCTGTGCATTTGTCTGACATCTCTTACTAGTAACATCAAGGACTATCAGTTTGGAAGAAACATGTTTCCAACTTTATAAATTGTTCAAAAACTAAAAAGTTTTAAAAACATTTTTGTAAGGGTGAGAATGACATGTATAGTGTAATATCAATATTTTATGTTTTCCCAGTGTCAGCAAAAGAGGAACATTCACCTTGAAGTGTCTTTTCTAGCCTGCACTGGCGGAAAGAGGGTCAGTCGCCTTCTGAATTCAGAATTTAAATTCATGTTCTATTTAAATATGTTCTGTATTTAATTTAAACATATTTGGCTTATTTTTGTGGTTCCAAAAATTACAAATTCATTAGACTATTGTTTTTCCATGTGAGATAATAATTGAAGGGGAGTATTTTACCATTTTACATGTGAACACCATCTACTTCCAAGTTTGCTAATTTTTCATTCTTCTTATGTTCCATGATTTTTGTCTAACATGCTGTTCAACACTTTAAGCATCACTTGGAAGAAAATGATGCATACTGACAATTTTCTCTGCAATATTTGGGTTAAAAAAATCACCTATTTCTCTAGCAGGAAATACAACTTCATCAAAACAGGCACTGAAAAAAACATTTTCTCATACAATATTAAATTACATTGCATTATGGTTTAGTTAATATTGAATTTGTTCTGATATTTATGTAAGAACTTCTTTTCCTTGGATACAAAGCTCAATATGAAAGGTCACCCTAGAGTAATGCCATCATCATGGAAAATTAATATCTTCATTCAGCAAGCAGCTTTATAAAAAACGACACTTAACCTGCACAGTTAGACTGAATGGATCCTGAGACACAGGCTGGCAAACATTTTGAGTTTTGAAATTGTTTTGGCGTTTCCAGAAGGTCCACTAACAAACCTTCAACAAGATGTTTTGAGACTTCCAATTATAAAACAACAAACACCCACAGGAAATGAGGTTTGTTGCAATCCCTGACAGTACTATCTGAGATGTACTGCAATGGAATATCACACCCCTTCACTACCTAGGAAACTGCGCTAGCCTGTTACTGCAGACTGAATCTTGCTTGTGCCGTGTGTGACACGTCGATTTAGTAGTGGCAGAGGAGTCATCTGAACGCTGATCTCTCAGTTCAATCAGGATTTTCTGTTCCGATTTTCCATTTTCATCAAGAGCCTCTTCCACAAAGTCATGTTCGTGCACTGCACAGAAGGGCAGAAAGCCGTGAAAGAACTAAAACACAAGCTAAAAATGACAAATAATATTGGCAATTTCATACGGCTAAAATCATAACTGTGGCTTTTGTCTCAAACAAGTTATGTCTTAGCAAAAGACCTGAAGGCTAATGAAATGTGTAAATTCAAGAATACTTTGAAAGGCAGAGCCTGCATGTCTTTTAAAAGAAGCTACCAACACAACATTCGCCAAAGATAAGGAAAAAAGCACACTGTCATAAGCAAGAGTGATCTCCTTCCCACATGAACTGTGTGGAACTACAGATAAGTGTATGTGAAGCCAAAACAATGTTTATATACAGGCTTGAAACAATGTTATAACTCTACATTCAATTAGACTTTTACCTAAAACATACAGTACACATAAATGAGCACGTAATCTTTGACAGATAATGCAGGTTAAAAAGTATAAAGTGACAGACTAATGGAACCAAGAAAATGGTGGAAACAAGAGACCTGCTTTCATAAAATAACATCAATAGACACTGTTTCAGATACCTGCAGGGTATCGCTGTTGATTCTAAAGGACTTCTTCAGCATCAAAAGCGAAATGCAGAGGACATGTGTGGGGACTGTATGGAAGCGCATTTAAAACAAAGAAGAGGAGACACCTTTGTACGTTAAGAGTTGTGGAAGTGTGACTCTAAACCATGTTGTTGAAACGATACCCTTGTCTTAAAGGAAGGACTAGATCAGATCCGTTTCACTTCTAAACATGCTAAATGGGCCAAATGTAATTCCACTTGTTACTGTTCTTATGTAGCCTATATATAGTGTACAGACATGGGTACTATACAACAGCAACAGGACCGGGAACTGGGAAACCTCAACTAGACTACAAACTGGCACATATACTAACATTTGAAGAAATTAGTTATCCCATCAGGAAACTGGCTGGAAATTTGAAAAAAAGTCTAAAGCTGAAAGAGACAGCACCTGAAGAAGGCTCCACGGCCGAAACGTTGCGTTTTCTTTCTTCTTTTTTTCAGCATGGAATAAACCTATTACTTGTTCCTTTGCAGCCTACGCATGCTGACGCAGCTACCCACCTGAACTAGAGACAGCATTACCACATTAGGACGATTTCACTTTATTAAGACTACGACATGAGGGAAACTAACTGCCAGAGACTGAGGTGTTACATGTGCAACCACATACAAAGATTGTTTAAGAAGCTCTGAGCCAAATGCAGAAAAGTCATTCAAAAAAGTGCAAACATGAACAACAAGCATTTATGTTTTGTTTAATATTGTACTTTGTAAGCCACAGAATTTGTGACTAGATTCCATCATGAAAGGGATTTATCACAGGGATGCATAGTGTAAGTACTGCTGACCTCTCATAATTCTGTAAACACTTTCAAGAAGAAAAACTTTTAGCTCCAAAACCAATGTCTCTGTTTCATGAGGAAATGAATACTGCCAAACACAGATGATCAGGAAACTCAATACCTGGAGATGGGAAAACCCCATTACATTGATACAGGATGGCCCACTTGCCCAGTCATGTCTCCAACTTCTAATACACACCACCCTTACATTGAACATGTCTATGCATCGAGATTTATGTTTTGCTTTAGGCTCAGCTACTTTCAGAAAAGCATCAACAACGGTGCGAGCTTATATCAGAAAAGAGTAGGTAACGTTACCGTGCATACTGTCGTATACTTCATATTTCACGTAAATATCACTACATTATTGCGACAGCAATGATCTTTGCAATGTTGTACACAGTACAACACAGCACTATTTCAGTTCATTCGAATTTAAGGTTTTATCCGTCAAATTTAAGGTCTTCTTTAAAGAGAGGTTAGGATGTTCGCTTGTTGTTTAAATTCATGTACTGACCATTGATTCACTAATGCTGCAACTTCGCCTGGTGTTTCCCCAACACAAAAACTGAATCTTCACTTTCATTTCACTACACATGTCTCGTGAACTTTAGAATTTTAAATAAAAATACCACCCTAGACACACACCGTTTAAATATTTTATTTTCCCGGTTAAAACACAAATGCATACCTATGCAAAGGTTGTTTTGCACTCATTTTTTTAAACGAGTACACAAATGTTGTTTATATAAAAAATGAAAACGTCGCAAATGTGGAAGCCACTAACTGTAACGGTTCTGCATTTGTATATATATATATTTTTAAGTTGTACGTCTTGGGCTCCTAGCTGAAATTTCACTGGACTCGGGAGTTTATTATAAATTAAGAGGGCTGAGCGTCACGAGGTGCCGTGTATTACATTTTGCTAAAGCGAAGTTGAACTAGCAGAAGGTTTTCATCCTACGTGCACACAAATCGGCATTGTTATCATGCTACGTGACTCCTCCGAGCTCTTCATTCCCTAGGCTAAGCGTTAAGTCAACTTAAGTCTTAAGTTAAAACTCCCTGGCTGGTTCAGCTTCAGCACAGTGTCCGCAGAAAACAGCTTCTACTACTGCTCGCACACAAAGAAGCAAAAAAAGACAACAAAGACAGATCCCCTCCCCCCTTACATGCCAACAACCATAAAACATTTATATTTCCAGCGAATGATCTAGCCTACACAGCCCCTTTTAAACAGGTACTATCTGCTAACCCCGAAACACAGCAGCTTTCTCGGAGGAGTGTTAGCTCAGAAGGAATAAGTAGAGCCAGAGAAATGTTATTAATATCATTCCGCCTCAATCACTCCTTCACGGCACAAAAGATATGGACACCCCACAGTACTATATCCGGGGACTATATACACAACATTCAAGTGCTTTTATCTCAGATACCCGGCCACTTGCCGGAGCTATGCCGGCACGGTTCGAAAGCTCACACGGTGCTTTATTTATTCGTAGTGTTTTGGCCCCGGTTACCTGCATCGGCGATGGTTTTGTCCCTCGGTTTGCGAGGTCGGCCCCGCGGCATAGTTCCAGGTTTCAGGGCGGGTGTACTGTGAGCGATTTGGATTTCAAAATGGCGGCGTCCCCAAGCTCTCTCCGCGGAGACACACTGGGCTGAGAGACGAGGCCGTGAACTTCATCACTGAGCAGCCGAGGGGAGAGGGCGACATCTAGTGTGTAAAAATGTGAAGACAAGGATTTAAGATTGTAGTTGTGTGGAACAGCTATGAACACAAGTTATTTTGGGTGTTTTCTTCTGTTTTTACACGTGTTTTGTAACGTTTTCGTGTTTAGAGTATCCATCCTTGTAATTTTAATATCTTCCCGATTTTTCCGTTTTTTCTTTGTAAGTTACGAGTGGAAACTGCCTGTCACTAAGTATTCCAATTGCTCTGTATTAAAAGTTATATCGTTGTGGAAAATAACGTATTTTATTAGTCCCCGATAAAACAGCTAGAATCTGTAATTGAGAGAAAAGGGTTTGGCTTTCTGGAATTCGGAATTTTAACTTCCAGTATATGCAGACATACAGTAGAGCTGCCTCATGCATCTGAAATCTGAATTGAATATATAGGAAAATAGCATTTTTTACTTGATTGTCCCAATTCTTATGGAGCTGATTCAGGGCGTTTCCAACTTGGTTGGAAAGTTTGGTTGGTTAACTCGTTTTCAAGAAGTCTCTCGCCACAAAGATGCACATTTTCAACCCTATATGTACTGTATTTAAAACGAAGCTGAACTGCAAACCGGTAGATTCACTATGAATTTTGCTGAAGCAGATGCAGTGTGATCCAAAATATTGGCATGAAGCTTCTCTATTTTTGTGATGCTCTGGAATGCTGCTGATAAGTGGATTGTTTGTAAGCTTTCATCTGTTAGATGTTTCTTTCTGAAAGTGCTGAAATGTGTGTTTTCATTATCCTTTGCATAATATTTGTGTTTTCCTTTGGAAATGTAAATATATCAAATGAAATTGCTTCGAGTCTTTTTCAGGTGACAAAAATAGTAAGTCCAACAGTTTTTAGCATAACAAATGCACTAGCATCTAAGACAAGTACCTTACGTTGGCTTTCTTATATAAAAAGAAATTGGTGGAGAATTAGGTGGTGGATTCTAATACACAGTACTAGAGGCACAAAGTAAATTGTCTACCACAAAGTTCCATCAAAGTCATAAAAATAATGGCCTAGGTGTTATGACGTGTGAATTTATATAAAAAAAGAAAGAAAGCATCTTATAATACATGCAGATGTCTTATTTATTGTAATAGAATAATGTACAATGTTTTTCTTTTCTTCGTCTTCTTTTTTTGTTTTGTTTGCATTCTTTTTAAATGTACAGGAGTGCTGTGTGTCCATAAAAAAAAAATCCCTCAGGGGACAATAAAATCTTATTCAGAGAAAATTAAACAAGAAGTTAGACTGTGCTTTAAACACTAGTGAAAAAAGAAAGATTGAGAAACTGAAGGAACTGTGAAACAATATTGCCACAGAGACTAGTATTAAGACAAATATTTTGCCCTTGTTTTACAAGACTGCAAAGGACAATGTATTTGTCAAATACATAATAATGTGTTAAATGCAGAAACTACCAGATAAATATTTTATACAAGTGTATGTTCAGGAATATGGTACATCAATCTCATGCTTCAAGTTGAAAAAGGACACTGCTCCTCTAGGATACATAAAACAACAACTCTTGCTATGCAAGTTTGATCAGGTTTTACATGATGTGGGTTTTTAGTATAAAGTCTAGTTTTGAAGCTGGCAGAATGTATGTACTGTAAATATTTCATGATTAATTTATGTTTCCATGTCTGTTCAAACAGATTTACTTTAAATAGCATAACATGCAGACATGGCCTGCAGCTTTTGATGGTTGTTATATGCATGTTGATAGCTGGTAAAACTTCAGATAATCCAAAACGCAAAGCAATAGATCTCTTACAGTAATCCTTGTCAAGACATGTTGTCTGGTCTCAACATCACCGTGGCAACTATGCCACAGAGACAACAGTCAATCAAATAGATCATCAGGACTTAAGCTACATCTCGTGTTGTATTAAAAAAATGTAGACTGTGATTAAATTGCTACTGAAGACAGAGGCTGCAATACAGTGGAAAAATCAAGTGTCAGTACTTATCCAAATAAGTGATGACAATAATGGCCAGCAGTCATATCACTCTGCAACTCACCACTGGCAACCCACTGAAACTAAGCAGGTGTGAGCCTGGTCAGTACCTGGATGGGAGACCTCCTGGGAAAAACTAAGGTCGCTGCTGGAAGAGGTGCTAGTGGGGCCAGCAGGGGGCGCTCACCCTCCAGTCCATGTGGGTCCTAATGCCCCAGTATAGTGACGGGGACACTATACTGTAAAACAGGTGCCGTCCTTCAGATGAGACGTAAAACCGAGGTCCTGATTCTCTGTGGTCATTAAAAATCCCAGGTTAAAATCCTTGATTAATTTCTCGAAAAGTGTAGGGGTGTAACCCCAAATTTCCCATTGGCCCTTATCAATCATGGCCTACGAATTGGCTTCATTACCAGGTGGATGCTGCACATTGGACACTCCCAGAAAAGTACTATATAAGTGTAAGCAATTATTATTATTAATATGAACCAGGTAAACATAAAACCAAAAACAAAAATCAGTTTCATATCCATTAAAAGCAAAGACAGAAAAATCAGTAAGACCTACAAAATTAAGATCAGTAAGTACAAAATTATCTACAAATTTAAAGTATTCTAAAGGTGCATTGAAAATGTGTTTAGAAAAAGCTGATTGCAGGTTATTAATTTATTTGAGCATACAAGAGCAACAGAAAATTACAATGGAAGAGGAGGCACTTCTTTGACCAATGTGTTGTGAGAGTATACAACAAGGTATGCTGGCTTCTTTCAAGAAATGGCTTGATGAGATCCTTGAGTCAATTAACTTCTACAGGTAACTACCAAACAAGTAAAACGGGCTGAATAGCCTCCTTTCTTTTGTAACCACTCTTTAATTCTTGTATTGAATTTCCCTCCTATTTGACCTAGTTAGTACGGTAAAGCCACTGTCAGACACATTTCACATAGCTCAGTACATTATGTGTTATTTATAAGGATGCAGTACCAGTTATTTAAATAATGGACTTATATGTTACTTGTTAAGTCACTTTCCTGAGTGGTGAACAAAATATAGCAAATATTTCATCTAAAACATTTGTGAATGTAATGCCCAACTACAAACAAATTAGGCCATGTCTATGCATTGACACAGTTGGCAGTGTATTTCATTTGCTCCTGAACACACAATATTTAAGAAGGCTAATACAAATATAGACATATGGTGAATGAAATTTCCAAAGGCAGATTATGGTACATTTCCTTGTGCTTTTTAAAGTTTTATGTGAGTTAGTGTCCATATTTTTATTTCACTATTTCTGTCCAAAATAAACTTGCTTTTTTGCCTGCCTTGATTAATTGTTTTAATGATAACACAAAAAAAATGTTGGTGTGGGATTTTCATAATAATAATAATAATAATAATAATAATTGCTTACACTTATATAGCCCTTTTCTGGACAATCCACTCAAAGCGCTTTACAGGTAATGGGGACTCCCCTCCACCACCACCAATGTGCAGCATCCACCTGGATTTTAAAAAACAAACTTATGCTTTCATTTCTTTCAACTAAACCAAACCTGTTGAAAGCAAAGCCCCATTTTACTGTTGTATATTGGAAAACTCTAAGCACATTTTTTTCTACACTTTAATAACTTTAGCAGTAATTTTGTTTTTGTCAGGGAAAGCATGAGGAATTTCCACCTGTCTCTGATAGGCAGAATTATGACTCTTACTGTTGTACTAAGATGAGGTCGTCATGGTTTCGCAGAGTTTCCAGAAACCCCCTATTATAATGTTTATCATTTTCAAATGTAGAGAAGAAAAGGAAAGTGCAAGAAAATAATCATTTCATTATGCTACTATACAAGGCTCTTTTAATGAATTGAATATTTTTAAACCTATCTATTATTACATTAGGCATATTAGCATTATAAATGGATAATTATTGGATAAATAGGTTACATTATTTGTAGTAACCTACAATAATGCAACCTACTGTATCAAAGACAACAATACAAATAAACCAAACAGATCTTAAAATATCTATGAAAAGAATACAAAAAATTACCATACAAAATGGTCAAAATATATAACTCACAAAATGATTACAAAACAAACATTTAAAATGGCAATTGGATGTAATCTTTTACAGCTTATTTGAGAACCATTCCATTTGACAGGTGTCAATCCTGGCTAGCATCTGGTTACAATAAGTTGTGACTTTATAGAAACAAATACTGTAGATCTTCATCTTTTTCACAATGATATGTTTTGCTAAAGGGATCTCAATTCATAGAGGTTTAGTGTTATCCAGATTTCTGTCTCAACCAATGTATTCAAATGAACATTTTGTGGAATTAATTTGAAGGTAGTGATGATGAACACCTGACAATGACTCAGTTAGGTTTGATTGGTAAATATGATGGATGACCTTCCACAACACTTGATTGTTTATCAGGGCACTACACTGTGTATTACAGAGCCTATTTTACTCTCCTATACCCAGGTCTTTTGGAAAAGGCTTTTTAGTACTAAGTGAAAACGTAATGGTGGCACATAGCAAACTTACACCCACACGTCTGTCAAAGTAAAATATACTGAACTCATTCCAGGATGCAGTAGGAGTAGACTCCTC